CTCATCCTCCAAAACTTTTCTGTTGGAATTTTGCATTTTCATCCATTAGGTGACCGCGTACAAAACAAAAATGGTAGGAAACAGAAATAACTAGACTGCTGCATTAGAAAAATAGGAATAAAGAGCGGCCAATGGTAATATTAAGATTAGTCTTTATTTTGCTGAACCCTTTTCAGCTTATTAACGTGTGTTACAAAGTTACCAGAAACCTTATACAAATTTCTTTTTTTCTATTTTTTATTGTGAAATGCATATAAACTTGAAGGTAGGCTTTGAAACTACCAATCATTGCCTACTTACTATTTTTATTTATTTTTCCTTTTCAACAGCTTAAAGCGATATTATTGCTTTTTCAATTATTCTATAGTTAACTGAGAAAATTAGTGGTTTACCACATTTGAAAGCACTTATTTTATCAACACTCGTTAATTCGTAGTTGTTCAAGGTAGTTCAGGTACTATTTACGAACTAATGAAAGGCAACGTCAGTGTACATATGGAAAGACATTTGGGTTTAGCAATCTTTAAAGTTGATTGAATTATCTATTATTTGTTTGATAGCTGTATTCATGCTCAAAATGCTTAATGAAAAACTCGCTCTTCCTTTGACCCAAATTCTGATCACGTCATAGAACTTGTATTTTACCATATAACCATCACTTAAAAGAAATATCTTCAAAGCTTTACTGTTAAAGGGTCCGCTTGTCAGGTGCTCTCAGATTAGCTGCCATGTTATCCCGATGCCTTTCCTATCTCAAAAGGTATTCCCAATTACATTTCCGAAATGTCTGCCCCTCTGATTTGGCTCATTTATGAGGAGCACAATGATACGCCAAATTCCTGATCTGTAAAATTTAGCCCCAGTTACCGAATTACAAACTATTCTTAATTACAGATTATCAATTATTATTAGCTGTTAATTGCACCACTCTGACCCGTTCTTTTAGGAGTCGAAGTCTTCTCAACATCGCAAGGTACGTTTATCCACTCTTTTTATCCTCTCCAATTTTCGTTTTCAAAGGAATTTTTTCCACGGAAGTTGTTTTATTCTCATTTCCTCACCAGAAGTGTGAGTTTAAGTCGGCAGGCGATGAGCCACGAGCAGCTTAATCACTCTCTCGAGGAGAGCACCAATCAGCTGACCAATGAGACCACAACTCCTCCTAGGTTGGCATCGATCGATGTTCTGTCTGACTGTGTGCGATTGGCTGGTGTCGCCTCTGAGTCAGCCGAGCAGCTGAACAGACAACCTTCGGAAGCAACCAATCATAATAATCGCAAGCTCACCATTGATGGTTTTTACCAGCTTTAAATTTTTAGGCTACCCAGAAGGTAGATAAACAAATGCTTAGGCGAAATTCTTCTAATGTAAAATGGACCACATACAATACGACCAATCATTGAATGTTGGATTGACCAATAGGCTCTTCTGCATAAAGTATTAGGGGTGTTTCCGCTAGCCACAGAAACCATTCACCCTCAAGCGATCTCAAACCATTAAGTAATTGACGGCTGGGAATTATGACATCCGTGAGTTGGAAACGTATTTTTTTAAGTAAACGTTATAAGGTCCTTGGTTTACTTCATTGACTATTGAATTAGGGACCGTCAGTTCTAGCGACCAAAGTAAGTTTGAGATAAAAAGAGTAGATTTAAAATATTGAGGTAATTAAGACAACACATTTAGCAGAACAACCCCTCCTCTATATTTGGGCACATAATAGGAAGAACGGTGTAATTTCTGGAATACAAAATGTTTAGATGTACTGTGTCCACTAAAATTTAGTTCAAAAATCATTTAATCGTTGTTTGGTGATGCATTATTTAAGCCATATTTATGAGTTAGGGATAGGTTAAATATATTGTTTAAGATACTCAAATGTACCAATTCAAGTTTTTACTTCTAATAGCCTAATTCTTTGTATAATCGCATTCATATGTAAAATAACAAGAATATTTATTGGGCGTGGATTACTTGATTTGGAATAAATTATTATTTTCTAGAAGTCGTTATAGAATTTGTTAGTGCTCCCAACATGATACTTTACCTTAAAAACGATCTGCCCTAATTATCAGTTTCCTAATTACAAATTCGCCAAAGAAAGTATTTGAAGTCTCAAAGATGGAACTAATATTACAATAATAAATAAGAAAAGAGGAAATTGTTGCCAAAAGTAGTCGTCCAAGTGCATTAGTTACTTCAAAAATTATAAGCGTTTGTGAAATCCGCATTTGATTTCTTCGCACACATGCTAACATATTTTATTTGTGATTAATGTCAAATACGTGGAGAAAAAAGGCAAAATGCAAAAAACCGTGTGAACTTAGCCAGAAATCCTGCATTTTTGATAATCATAGTGCTTCCACTAGTGAACTGAACAAAAATATTTGCCACTCGAGAATTAAGCTCAAATTTTAGGGATGAGGTGATACAGGGAACTTGATATCATCCACTTCCAAAAGTCTACTTGCACCGTGGAAAGTGTGAGGCCTCCTCTGATTAACTCTTCCTATCTGGATTCAGCGCTTGATAACATTCTCTTGAACAAAACCTAGCTTTTAAGGGGGTTTAATACGACAAAAGTTGCTGCCGTAGGAGTACGGCACCCAGTAGTAAGTGGCAAGCGGGCTCTATCACTTGCAAAAATAGTTGCAGCACCTGTGCATGGGCCAGTCTGGTCCATCCCGGTTCAAACATTGTTAGTCACAATGACAGGACCGTGTTAGTGAATAGGTGCATGATGACGAACGAAGCTTCTTGTGAACCAAGGTGTAAAATCTGAACTCACCGAAATCTTCAGCCACAGTTTTACGGCTATGTGACGTTCTTACTGGCATAAACAATTCCACGATAGGCGCACGTGGTTCGTCTTGAGGACCCTAGTCTAAAATATCGGCAACTACTCCAGAAAATGCGAAGATAATTAGCGCCTGTAAACTTTGAGCTTGTGGATTTTGGGAATCATTTGAGAAATCCGAATGTTTTGCAGATGTGAAAATGTATCGCAGCAGTGAGGTCATATCGACAACCGTCTCACCGGCAATAACAAATAGCACAAACGGGGATTTATCACCGGTAGTCAGCATGACCTGGTCACCGATGCCTTTGCAGAAGGCGGACACTTTGGCTGAGGTGGAGAGCAAGGAGGTCGAAGCGGTACTGACCCATGCTGAGGTATGAAGCCAATCTCTTCCATCAATTGCTTCATTACTCATCTAAGAGTAATTTAAAAATCAAACAGTTTTTGTGATGTGTTCACTTCGAAACATGTTTACCCAAACGGTTGAGTTAACTAAGTAAAAAGCGGTACTTAAATAATGTTGGGATCTTTTAAAATACGGTACAAGATGTCGTCCCTCAAATGATATTCTTTGAACGATATCGTCGCGTTTTGAGTTTATTCTGAAATTTTGTCCCATAACCTCTGCACCACTTCATTTGGATAGAGAATTTTCGAACCACTCAAAATGGACATTTTATAAAAGATGGAGCAAATAGAGGATTGAGGTATTGAATAATTATCAATTTAGTTGGAATTTATCGAACGAGAACCCACTTCCATAAATATGATAGCATTCGACGCTTGTTTAATTTTCAATGAGGCGGTCGTGATTAAAGTACTTATTTGTTGATTACCATTATAATACTTTGATGAACTACTTTTTTTTTGAGTGACAGAATGTGATGATAAAAACCACGGATCTCTAAAATAACATTGATCCATGAAATTCATGAGGTATGGTTTCCATCAATGATTTGGCGTGACCCAAAGGCACTTGTAAAACATGCGCGATTTCTTTTGTACATGCACTACAGAGTATAAATACGAACGTGTTTGTGCATTTCCATGTGCTCTTCGCTATGGTCTCCTATTTTGAAGCCTCAAATTATTAAACTTCAGTTGAGTTTAATGAATCCAATTCCATCTTGTCTGTTCTACGAATCAAGTTCAACTCGACTCCCACCAAGGGTGTGATGTGCGTAACCAGGAGGTATCGCTCAGTCAGTTGGGTTAAGCGACTTGATTCTCAGAGGTCTAAGCGATTGGTACGCTTTCTTGGAATTTGATAATCCCATAACCATGTATGAAAGGTAGGAGATAGTTGAAAACTAAAAGAGAGATTGGAACGGAAGTGGCCAAGTTTTCCGCGTTTACACTTCAGGTTTTCTGAAAGTACAACTTGCAGCCCGTTTGTGTCCCTCTGGAAAAGGATGATAAATTGTAATGGTATTAATTTGTAGCACACAAACAACTAGTTTGTGTGATTAATTTGCGTCATTTCCATTCACCGTCTGACATCGCTAAAAACTTGCCATTTGGTATTCGCGGAGTTTCCATCTTGTATCAAGCGAACATTTATTTGTCTAAGCGAGTATGCATTTTATGAGAGTCGCTTTGATACTTGAAACAAATTGACCTTATCATAATTTCAAGTCTAACTCGACTAGATTAAAATCGTGAAAGAGAATTAGAATAGCAAACATTTGGATGTAACCTGTTAAAGCAGGTTCTCAACCTTGATTCGAGGTACATATACAGTCAGCTAAAACACGTTTAGGCATTCAGGACGAAAGTGGAACAACTTAAGCAGAATTTTAAATAAGAAAGAACTGCCTAGTTAGTACCCCTTGTTTCGAGTACAGTCCATGTGTTTGGACTAAAATTCGCCATCATTGAATGTGCTAAATCTGGTGAACTATGTGAGTCCCGAATGTATTGAGTGCATCTGCAAAGAAGAAGTAGTCTGGTCTGAGTCGTAAGGTCAGGAGAAGTACAAACTACGACTCAGTACTTATCAAAATTGGTATGAGAAATTTAGGTACGTTGCCTATTCAACCCTTGTGTATCCGGCTTCCAAGTTCGTGCAGTTTTAAAATTATGCATTTAATTGTCTAGATAAGTTTCCTCTTTAAGCCAACTTCAAGTTCCTTATCCAGCTATTCTTCTAAAGCTATTTCTTGCTTTACTTAATTGTCCTTACAACTAGCGCTAAGTGACGTTCACCGCGGGGGTCGCACTCAATCATCCGCCCATCAGACAATTTGGCCTAATCAATGGCTATAAACCACAAATGAGCACGTGTCACAACCGTGACCACGGAAGTGTTTTTGTCCAAGACTCCCATTAGTAATAAAACAATTTTCATCGGAAAATTCTGAAGGACTAAATAACCTTTAAAGGAAACTTTGGATAACCATAATTTTCCTTTACCTTATTTGGTCATACTTAAAAGACGATCCTGAAATATTGCATTATTAGAGGAAAATACAAAAAAAATAATCCTCTACAGATCATGCGTTTGGTGGCACATCGTCAAACTGAGGACAACGAACCAGAGGAAGGTGTTCCCAGGAACAACGAAGTGGAAGAATCACCAAAGACCGATGCTACATCTCTACCGTCTGCTCCAGAGTGGAAGAGAAAGCAGGGAGATGAAGAAAAGGCAAACGAGGAAGAGGAGGAGGCCACGGTCGATGGTATAACGCCTCCACTGCCTTCTCCCACCACATTGCCTCACAAATTCAATTGTCAAGGCAGCGTGGACCACTCCTCACAGAATCACAGTTCCACCACTTCCGAGTCCTTTGCTACCCAGATCCAACGTCCAGGGGCCTCCACGATGATGCTGGAACGTGCCGACACTGTCCCCTCAGACTCCACTCCTCTCTCTTCGTCCACCGCATCTCCCTCTCCACCGAAACCAGAGGTAAATCTCGTTACTCGCAGCGCTGTTGTGGATCCACCTTCCGATTTTGCTGACACTTCATCGCCCCAGAAGGACATCTACTTCCCATACCTTTCCAAAGTCCGCAATCTAGACCAAGACGAATGTGGACAAAAGACACTCTACCAGCCTCTGCGATTCGATATACCTATCCGAGATCCTTTCACCCTCCCATCTCGATCACAAGAGCTCAGCATCAGTGTGGAGCAACCATTCGATTCGTTTACATCCTCTCCAGCAAAAACAAGCGTTGCAGAACTCTCGCCATGGCCGAATGAGAGGCTAGTGAACGTACCCTTACGCGTAGACAATAGTTCACTTCTCTTGCGTCATGGATACACGCCGCACCGAGGTTATAAACCCGGTCATTTGCGAAATCAATCGGACGAAGAAGTGGGAATGAAGGAAAATGATGAGGTCGAGCCGAGACCGACGGTAGTTCGGGGAGGCTGTGCGCCACCGATAGACGAACCTATCATTGTTGCTGAGTACCACGTGCCTCTGTGCGATGTAAGTTGGGTAATTTAAGTTAGTCTATTGTCTGTGTTTATGTGAAGGAGATGTACGATATTTTATTTCTTAATATGAATCAGAAATGTTTCCCATACAAATAAGAGTTCAGTCGTGAAGGTTCAAGCCAAACCAGGAGTCTTAGTGGTATAACAAAAAGTGGAACATTTCAAGCAGTAAAAACTATTTTTGCTTTACTTCACAGTCTCCTGATGCATTAATGTACTAAGTTCAGCTTCAAGCCAACATCTACAAAGCAGCTTAGACATAGAAAGGTTGTCGGTAGGCCTGAACCATTACCACATGCTGTTCCAGCCACTCACGCACTACCATCTTGATTTATCTGTGTCTAGAATGTACGTTGACTACGTGTAGGGGTGATGGGCTACACTTGCTATCTACGACTGCAGACAGTACCTCTACGGTAGTATCAATCTTTATCAATAATATAAAATCAGAAGTCTCTGTTTGACTTGAACATTCTTCCCAGAAAAATCGTGTGTTTGCTATCTCAACTTAGTGTCAATTAGCAACGTTTTAATAATACACATGTAAACTACTTTAAAAATGTTGTAGTGATTTGGTTTTATTGGATTAATAAACTCAAAAGAGGAAATGGATAGCGAAAATGTTTGGTCAAGAGAGCAGAAAGTTGTGATTATATTGTTGTCACAGAATGTGGTGTCATGGGAAGAAATTTTTGTATTATGTAACCCAATATGAGCCCCAGTGTCTTAACGAAATATTTTTTCAAAAAACTAAAATACCCATTGGGTTTGCTTATTGTTCAGCACGAAAGCCGTGAATACTTCCAGTATCTTCGGAGTGAAATTCGGTGATAGTGATTCATGGGTAAAGAAGGGAGGGAGGAATGGAAAAGTGCATACGGAATGGAGCTGTTATTTCTTTCTTCCACTTTAGCTACTTCTATTGCATGGTTGAAACTCACGTGGCCCAATTTTTAAGATTAAAATAGCTAATGCTTCCGTCTTCAACTGACTGTCTCCGTTTGAACTGATTTCTTCTCAGTGTAGATAAGTAACTGTTGTTACTAGCCACAAACTGGCTACGACATTACATCACTTTGCCATTTCTCTGGATCATTTAATAACTCAATTGGAATCGTTTTTTGTAGCTATTAAGGTGAAGTTCCGGCCTGCTTACAGGTCTATTGTGGGTTATGCTTCAAGTTTCGGCAAGTAATTTTGATGAGCCTTTACGTTGTCCCATTACTGCATTTTTATAGCAAAATTCATTTACATAAACTTTTGATTCATTACTTAACAACTTTAATCTCCTCTGAAGTCATAACAGGTCACACTAGTGTAGGAGAAGTTATCATTAACAAGCAGGAGGGTCGGCAGTCTTCAAGGGAAGCCTCAAGGTTCCGTCGGCAATTTCGAAGTGCGATTCACGTAAACTAAGGGTCCATACATTAAAATGGATATCAAATCAATATGCGTAAATACTTGATAGATCCGATTCTGTAGTCGAAGATAGTTCAGGACTCTTAAGTGATTACTGCTGCATTTAATGTCAGATCCAGTAAAATGACCAGTCAGATTTTATCGCCATAAACTTAGGCATGATTTGATGTGAATGGACGGAGGAATTCCGACTGGATGTTTTTCGGCTCTTTTCTCTTCATCAAATTTCACTTATTCGTGTGGCTCAATTTTTGAAATTAAGCTGTTCTCACGTCTGCTCCCAGGTTTATGAGCAGTAGCTGAACCCATCGAAAATATAACAGTAACTGGTGTTATATGAGGACACTGAATTGCCTCGGAGATCCTGATACTGAAAACGTTTTACCACTACAGAGAGCGAAACCTATATTGCCTTCAGAAGTAATTTGAAGTACTCTCTAGACTTAACTTACCACCCTCCGTTGGCGTTCCAGAAAAGTTCTCATATATGCAAGTCTTGATCAACCACATCATTGGTTCGGCACCGCACTGCCTTATCATGATTGGGTGGGAGGGTATGCGCCCGCATTTCTAGGTAGGGGTTCGATGGAAAGAGGGTGAAGAGGAGATCATTTGATAGCAGTAAGATGCCAGCTCAGGTGCTTATGTCGCCTTGTTGGGCTCGTGAGGTAAATCCACAGGTGGTTGAGGATTTGCTGGATGAACTCGTTTATGTCTGGCCCTACAATCGAAGGTTAATGAGTCCTCTTCCTGAGGTGAGGCAAGGCAAAATGATGTGTTTGAAGACTCTCTTCCTCTATTTAAGTCTCCTACCACTTTAAGAGTTCATTTGTTGCTCAATTGTTAAGTAGTTTTTACGAGAATACGATTTGGTCTAATAACTCATCCCGGTTTAAGAATCTTTGGCAAACTGGTTGATTTAAAATGGGTCTTTATTTTCATTTTTTTCTTTTTCTTATTCTTGTGCTTATTGAGCCAATCAGTCAGTCAACACCATTGCTTGGTTTAAATTCCCATTTTGTTAATTTCTAATGGCACTATTAAACTTCTCTTTTCATGATCTCTGCTCTGAGAGATGATAAAAGTTGGCATTTCGCATGTATGGGAGACTTGCATCTCTGCGCCCTTAAAAAGTTTGATTAAACCTTTAGTAAAACCCCTAGAGTAGGCTTTTAGTGTACTTTTGGAATACTTTGGCTTTCTTCAAACATCTTCATTTGTCTCACACTACATATTTATGCTGTCATTTGATATACATCACCCCTGACTTATAACTTTCAAAGAAAGGTTTAGTTAAAGGCATTGGCATATTTTCCTATCCTAGAAATGTTACGCATTAAGCAATTAGTAAGCATAGCTACCGAGCTGTGTAAAACAGAGCCCATCCAGGACCCTTCACGAATGCTCTATTTAATCTTATTAAGAACCTCCTTCTCTCACTCCTTTAAATTTACTACTTTTTTTACCTTTAAATGCCTGAAAAACGTCGAATTTTGTTGAATACCATCTCAAACCTAACTTTAAATTCTGTTTCCATAAGAATAGCTTCTTTTGGTATCCTCCCTGAAAATTGAAAAAAATATAATTTGGGAAAGATATCTCGAAAAATTTGAAGTACTGGTGTCAATTTATTTGTTCCTTCCGTCAATGTGCGTTAGCACACCCCATCTTCTTTCATTTTTAATAGAGCTTTAATTTTTGAATATTTATCTATATTTCCAAAAATCTGCAACAACTGATTAGAATGACAAAGAAAGTTGTTCATAAAACTTTAAACAAAGTTTGATTGTTTCTCTATTTATTCCCGAAAAGTTAAAAAAATTGGAAATTATGGCATTCTTTAGTGGGTGTGTACATTTCTTTTCGCTTTGAAAAAATAATGTTCATTTACTATTGCTCAAAAAGGACTACTTTCAGACTAACAGCCAACTCTTACTTAAGGAATTATAGGAAGTGAAGTTAGAGTAAGAATAAATCTTGCACTAACTAATATTTCAAATAGTTCCTCTTATTTGGCGAAATTGTTGAAATCAAATTCTAACCAATGCAAGAAAATGTCACCTGACAAAAATACCAGACAAATTCACTAAGACATACAGCTTGCTTATCCTAAAAAGCAGGTAAATCTTAGGAGGAGGATGATGATGATGACGGGAGTGAAGAGGAACCAAAGGAAATATCAGAACAGGACAAAGCGGCGGTCGCGCCATTTAATTGGAGCGCCGCGTCTGCTCGTGTTGATAGGATTCTCCCCGTTGAAACTCAGGTTATGCCAAACCTTCCGGCCATGACAACCGTCATCCTTAGCCAGGAGATTTTGACTCCTAAGTAAGCTGAACTAGTTTTTTGCATCAAAGGTTTCTGGGCTTAAAAAGACACCCGATTGCTTCCTTCCCAATCTCTAGGATGGACATTATCGATACTTATCACAAAGAAATGGATTCCTTTCCGGAACCCAGCACTGAGTCTGTTACCGAGAGACCTGTGGTTTCTCCTCCAAGGTATGTGACAAAATGAAATGCAATTTCCTACGCGTAATTTTTAAGTAAGCTATTGAAGTTCGTTTTGTTTTTTTACATTAAGTTGTGGAAATTGTTACGACTGAATTTGTGAGGCAACTACTTTAAGTTCAGGGCTGTTTCTATTCATGATGCTCTGTATTATCTCGTTCCGTTATTAGTTCGAGAAAGGGAATATTTCACCTAAGGTCCTAATAACGAATCTTAGAGAGACGATAATGAGTCTTCGCATTATGAGCAACAGCAATGAGATACCGTGAAGTCGCAGACAGATTCCATTTCCTATTCCAAATCAACATACCGGTAACATTTGAATAAATCAGTGAATTGCATTCCTACGTTATTATACTCTTGACAGTTAAATTGCTTGATCAAATTTTTAAGCATCGATGATTTCAACAGTTTTGTCGAAGTCGATTAGGATTGGATGGTTTGCATTTTAACGGTCCCTTATCATATCAAAATTTCAGTAAGCTTTTGCAGTTAGTATGCAGCACCTTGTTAAAGCACTCAATTTTGGAGACTTTATTGAGCAAAATCATGGGTTTGGTGTCCCAACTTCTATCCTCTATGTTGTATCTTCAAATAGTCTGAAAAGTATAAGCCACTCAAATAGAGGCAGAACTGAAGTCTATTAACCCAGCTTCTACTTATTTGTGTGCTATTAAACTCTATAGTCATCATGCTGGATCAGTGTGAAACGTTGTTTGGGGAAAAAGGTTGGAAAAGGTACATTAAATGGCGTCTCGAGGGACCTGCACATTTATTGGCTGTATTTAAGCTAATTGACCTAATGTTACAACAATTTCTTCTAAAAGCTCCCTGCCAGGACCTCTAGGCAATTGGAAGTCACCAAGCGACCCAAATGCCTCATCTCCCCAGCATGAAGTTAATACTTTTGATACCGAAGACTCAATGAAAATACTACACAAACAGAGTGCATTTATCCTTACACTGAAAATAATCTATGCCTATTTTATTGTTTTAAAATCAAAAAGTCTTTTTGCGACCCGATTTGATGCTTCCATTTGACATAAGTTGGTAATGAAAGTGTCAGGCAATTGTGACGCCGGGTTCATGTAGGAGAATTTCAGCTTCATATATGTGTCGCTGATAGCAATCTTGTTAGCTTTATATATGTAACAAATGCAGACTACTTGCATATTTAATGGCCAGCAACTGTAAATGTTAACAGAAAGCAGACACGCTTCTTTTCTACATCGAAAATGAACGTAACTCTGTTGTGTTATCATTTCGGTGGTGAGCTGTTGATCAATGAATTAATTTTAAAGGCCCGGTTGCTAGATTTGATTTTTTCAAAGTTAACTCGAACCATAGAAAAATGTGACAGCTGTATTTAAAATCCAAAACTTACTAGTGTGACTTTGGCAATGCACTGCTTTATCTCTTATCGGAAATAAGTAAAAAAAAATCAAAGATGGTAACGAAGTGACCCCATCCCTTTGAAGCCCATGTCAGGATGAGTTTAATTCAATCCGTCAATCCAACAAAAAACCTTTTACAGACGGGATCGAAATTCCTGTTTTGCGACAATTTTGAACTTTTGAGTAATAACTTATGAGTTATTGTCCTGTGGAAATTGATTTGGTTTCGTATTTACGTACAGAAATATCAGCCACGAGAACGTTGGTGGACGGAAATCGACAAAAATGGAGCCCTTTCTACAGAGGACTCTAATACAAATTTCCAAGACAGAAGGTACAGAAGAGGAGGAAAAGTACCAGGAACAAACTTTGCCATCTCCGACTTCTTCCGGCTCTGCCTCCGCCACCACCTTTGAAATGCCCGTCTCCCCAACCATTGTGCAGGTCTTTTGGTTTCTCCTTGTGTTTCTCTTCGTCCACCATGTCCTCAAAGTTCTTCGTGTTGGCCCAATCCTGGGCTTTTTCGGTGCCACGGGCCCTGAAGCCATTGGCTATTGGAGCGCCATGGAGGCCATGGTTGACTTTCTCCTCTTTCGACTCCTCTAAATGAAACGTTTTCGATCTCCACTGTCCCTTCATTCCAATTATGATTTTGATTGTCTGCGTGCTTGCCACTGTTTGTGTGTTTTAAACGAATTAATATACTAAGCAGCCTCTAATTCCTATTCAATTTTCATGAAAAAGCTTTAAACGCAGTGAAGCTTCTTTTGTTTAAATCTAAACATATTATGATTAGGATTATAAGATTTCGTTGAATAAAACGAGAGGCAAAAGAGTCTCTTCGTAAGTTTTTTTACTTTTATCAGAAGAAGCGCTTCCAGAAAAATCAGTTTCTTCCGCAAAAAGCATTGAGCGTCACTTGAAATTTGCTGAATAAATTTAATATTTTAGGCAGATACAAGAAATGCTAAAGTAGCAGTCTTCAGGATCATGTTATTACCTCAGCATCGAATCCAAATGCAACTTGATGGTGAAAGAGAGGATATTTAATCAAATTGATTTATTCTTAAATATGCGAATTAACACTGATATGAGGTGGACCTCGACGTTTCCACTTAAAAGAAATCAAAAAATAGTGGAATCCTTTTTATCCTAGTAAAGATTTAACAGAAAAGATGTTGAATTCCGGGTAAACAGTCTTACATATTCGTATATTTATAGATTTATAAACACGTATTTTTACAAACGTATCAGTGTTAATACAAAGGAAACAAGGAAAGATTTACAAGGTATGTTCAAGTCAAACCGATGGTCCCATTGGCAAGTTTGCTGCATTCCAACCTGAATTCCCGGTGTACATATTGTGCTAGGGCCAGGCTAGTTTAGACACCGTTGCTCAAGATTGCAGACATCTGTAGTGTGCGTACTTGCAACCGTAGACTGATGAACGAAGTTTTTTGTGAATGAATAAGAAGCCTCGGACAACTAATTGGTAGAAACATCTACAACACCAGAACAACATTCCCGTTCCAACGTTTTAGAAGCTTCTGTTCGTAAGTTGAAGCTTCGGACCTTATAGAACATGTCCCGACTTGGACTCTTGTTGGGCTGTCTTTTTATTAACCAATGTGACTTGAAGATCCGTCACTTGTACTAGTGATCACCTTATGATCAAAACCATTCAAAACGCCATAAACATGTGAATTTGATGGCCATTTTGGACCTCCTGCAGTCCAACTACCAGGCACGTACGCAAGTGTCGCACTCCCAGTGTATTCAAATCATCAGCATTAAAGACCTCCGTGCTGGTGTCCTTTTCCCTCCTCTCTTGCTTGGGATCTTGACAGTGTTCGTGCCCACATGCGTATCCAGCAGATAATGCCACCATTCGTGCAGGCAAACCCAAAACACTTAAGGCCACAAAAGCGAATTAATCATTTAATAATCCGTCAGTTAAAGGAAGTAGCTTCAAAACGTTTGGATTACCAGATGTGGTATTCAGAGCAAGATAATACTGTAAAGGGTATTGAAAATGGTGGACCTGTTCTCACTCCAAATTCACCAAAAAGTTTCCCAGCTCTCCAGTAACCCTTTTTAAGGCTTTTTCCACTTAAATGAGGCAGACTTATTAAGGAGCATCCGCTAATCCCTGCACAAAACTGGACACTAAACTAACATGTATATCGAATGGACCCTCATAATTACACCAAAAATCAGAGGCAAACCTATTAGTTTTCCCGTAGATTCTGCTTTGTCGTGAGAACTTCACTGAAAAATTGACTTTGCTCTAGGATACTGAAAATAACAGCATCTTGCCATCAAAATAAGCTAGTGATTTTATCATCAACGATATTAATTCCAAAATATGGTAACCTTTAGGACGGAAAAACTAACAATTTGCTAGAAAAAGTGGAAAAAAATTAGGAAAATTTATTGTGCTTTGCTTTTTGCCCTGTCTCTTCACGATTTCTTTTTCCTTCCAGTTTTTTGAAAACAGCTTGAGGCGCAAATAATAAACTCCACCCATCTTAATGTTATTTAGCAAACAACTATTTATCAAAAATGCCTTCCCATTTCCTAGATAAATTTTAGCACATTTCTTAAAAATTCCGGAACTAAGGCATTCCGAATAGGTGCACAATGTCAAGCTTACTATTGCTCCAATCCAGTTGATTACCTTCCTTTCCAGGTTCTAAAAGAAGAAGCATCTCGAATCAGGGGACATTCAAAACAACCACCTTTTAAGGAAAATGCTTATTTTAACCATTCTTAGATGAAGATCGCCTATGTGGTAATAGTTGGGCGTCACACTATTAACATCTTGACTGGGTTAAATTCAACTCGGTTTCCTGTAAGCTAAACGCTACATTGCTGTGGAACTTGGTGAAAACAAACTTTTAAAAATATCCCATTCTGACCACTTGAATAAACGAGACATTCGATGTTCAAACTAACTATCACTATCATTTCTTCATGCAAACGTTATTTATGCCACACCAAAACAAGCCATTGACACGAATCAACTACCGTAATTATATAAGGAGATGCAAATGCATATTTTCAGTCAAAACCTGAGATTCAAAGTAGTTGGAGCGCCAGGGATCGGTGGGCAACCAGGTGTTAGCATTTAAGTGGATAGGTGTTGTCTCAATGCGAATGCTAAGTTTGTAGAAAGCACGTTAAGGAGAAGTGCTGGAGCCCTTGCAGAGTGTCCGACTTGCACCTTGGGCGATGCGTACGCGCGCTCTTTGTCTAGCCATTCGTGAGCCATCCGTGGGCTTGAGAGCTTCAACGCGCTGCCGGAACTGATGAAATTTCTAAATTGGGGGTGCGTTTGTGTCGTGCTGCTCATATGACTAATTTGCTTGCATGGGCCTAAACTGTAAGTGTGGTAGAGTAAGTCGAGACTATCCTTTCAAACCAAGTTCTTTTCTTGTTTTTATGCGTAACTTGCATCCTATTCATGTTTCAGTAAATATGGTGTCACTTTCTGATGCAAGTTTAATCATGAATTCAACGCTGCTCAAACCTCTTAAGATAATGATGAATTATTGCCTTATACCAACTTCGAACTACACTTGAGAATTCCAAAACGATAAGCCTTCTAGCTGCTTCACTTTTAAACTACCTTATTTCCGGCTTTATGACGAAAAAAAACGCGAAGGTTGCATTAATTTTTACAGTAATTTGGCTGAAGAATAAGACTACTTTCGTAGCAAAAAAATACTTTTAGGGCTTCTCTGTCGTTTAATATCTGTACATAAGTCACTAACAATAAGTGAAGCAAAGGAAGGGCCATTTTTCTGGTAGCATATAAGCCTTCAAAACACTTTTCATCCTTACATATTCCAATCAAATTCGAAACAGTAGTTTGCTACCTTTAAGACGGAAATATACGCACAGGCACATTATCTACTGCCAAAGTGCATGGGAAAATTCTTCCAAATGAAATTATTAGATGAGAGCAAAACACCCGCTTGTGGCAAAAAACGACTAACTGGGCGGGTCATTGTGAGTGCAAAAGATCCGTGTTTTTCTAAAATACCAAGCGATCTTTCTATCTGCCTGGTAATGAAATGCAAGGAAAGTTCATTTGAGTCATGCTCACAAACTGTGCTTATTGAGTCAGTGTTCCTCCCTGGTAATGGAGGAGTAAGCGATTTGTCCACAAGTTATTGATCTTCCGCCCCTTAAAGGTGCCCATTGGCATTACGCAACCCGACTTAGTAACGCCTTCAAAATGTGGGGTTTGGTGCATTTTTAAGCTCAACAAGGATATTGGACTGACAGATTACCAAGTAGAGATGTATGCAGACTGATTATTTGCATCAGTGCTGTCACTGAAGGAAGCAACCATTACATAATTCAGCGTTACAACAAATTTTCAAAAGCTATTTCTATGAAAAGTTCCCAAGTCAACCCCCAAACTGGTGTTCATTACCAAGAAGAACACAACTCAAGGCGTGGAAACTGTTTCTCCTTTTTGAGAGTCATCTGCTACAATTTTACACCCTTTTCGATGTTTGACTGATGCATGGAAATCACCTTCGACACAGAAAGACCAGTACGGTTGAACCACCCTAGGGAAGCATCCCTCACGCCGTTCTCGGTATCTTAGTGTTCAGCGCACGCTAAATCCGTGAAATAGTCAACACTCTTGAGTAACTACCTCCACCGCTCTCAAAGAAACATTGATATCATGTGTGATTCCACGCCATGACAGCATCCCTCCTCGCGAGCGCAAAATTAAATCGCCGTCTAATTTGATTAGTATCAGTCCCACCACACCGATTTGCTTCATAATTAACGATTCATCTCCTTCCCAAAGGCAAGGTACAAAAGACAGTGCTCCCATGATAGTAAATATGTCCATATGCATATTGTATGCACATACGTATGTGCGGATATATGTGTGTATTGCGTCTCGTTGAGTGGTATTGCGCAGTTTCGACCTAAATTATCCGAATGGTGAGTCAGTTAGGTAGTCTTCAATATATATTGGTGCCCAAAAAACCACGAAAAGAAGAAAAGAATAAGAGAAAGGAAGGAAAAGACAAAAAGCAAATAAGGAAAAGCTATCTTGTGTAACGTGTATGATCATATCATTGGAAAGAGCTAGACGGAGTGGTTGGATTGAGGGGCGGATGGGTATTTAGCTGTCTTGCGTAGAATGGGATATCAAACAAAGTCAGGAACGAGAGAATCAAGATCAAACAAAAAAGCTCGAGGAAAGGCCTAGGTCACATGCACGGAAGTGGAGGTAGGGATGAAAGTGAACGGAAAGATCCTAGAGAGAAGTGGTTAGGGGAGCAGATCCTCCTGGAGGGGCGCCTGAGGCGAAGCGGGCGAGAGACCTCCGCCACCGCCGCCGCTAGACGAGCCCAACCGAGTGTAGACGGCTGGAGCACAGGTTCGTGAGCGCACAATCTGCATCATGATAAGTTTGCGATGGCCATTCCGCTCCCCCAGGCCCACGATGGCACGTTTGTCGCGCGAGAGCTTCACCTGCAGCACCTCTATGTTGGAGGTGAAGATGCACATCTGCGAGCCATCCTTCATTCGCCAAACGCGAATCGAACCATCCCAACTGCCTGAAACAACCATCTCGCTGTCGCACGACACCACTACGCTCAAAACCTGGGCGCAGAAGGACGAAAACAGGTCTTTTAAGCCATCTCATTACATATCAGCAGCCTACTCCTTCCACTCGTCTCACTCTTTCTTAGGCAGTCCCCTTGACAACTCCCGGTTTCTCCTGTCAGTGAAAAAGTACAAAATAAATTTCTTGGTTATGGACTATCTGGAGCGTTCCTTTTAGACAGCGGTTCCACCACGAAAATAACATTGCATTCAAAAACCTGAAACAGGCGAGATACTACTGAGCATTTGATTAGTTCTGCTGTTATTTACGATTTCAATGCTAAAAATGATGCCTGCTCATACCATTCCCTGTGTGTGGATAACTTCTGGACTAGTGTCTTTTGACGCCGTTTGGATTTAACTTAGGTACTACATTAGTGAGCGTGATTGAATATACCTGACAGTTATAGACTTGTGCCCGAATGAGTCGACCGGCTATCGTATGAGACAGGTATGCCATTTCATAGTTGAATCGGCGGATATCCGTAACGGAAGGGCCACCAAACTCACAAAGAATTTTAAAAACAATCAAATTTTCAAATATTGCAACATGACCAATGACAATCGAAGACCCACATTGAGGGAGCTGAAATCGCCGATAAAAAAAAATACGCATGAACGGTATGTGCAATCGGAAGTTTCACCATTTCTCTAATATTAAGCGAACATAAGAACCAAGACAGTTTTGTTGATAGTGTTAAAATGGAATTGATTCACATTTGTTATTTATTTTAAAAAGTGAAGGATTTCGAATGACACGCTAAGTGTGCTCGTAAGGGAGATCATTTGCCGACTAAACTTCCTCAATGCAGTTTGCGAACAGAACGAGGAAGCAACAAAATCTGAGATATGCACTACTATAAGCGAATTCGGATGCGATATCTTCATTATTGTCTCAGGCGATTTCAATTTACTAGACTAATACCATAAAAACCGGGCGCAGACCTTACTGGCTTTCCGTGACTCGGGCTCCACGCCGTCGGTATGAAGCTATGCTCATGTCACCCGCGCTAACAATTGTAGAATCCGCCCCAAACTTCTATGGCTCATAACACCCTAAGAGCTAGTTCGAATGCTATACTGGTAGTAGCAATACGTCTGCCTCAGTTGATACTTCAGTAAAGGGAGAGACGTAAGTGGATCAACCTACCACAAATACCCGCAAAGAAAGACAACTGCCATATAGGAGTGAATCACCTAAAACACCCAGTACGCGAGGCTAGCAACATCAAGTTGGCCTTTGGAAAACACAAAAATCTTAGGTTTCATAGCATGAAAATTTTTAAAAGGGTCCCTGCTTATGTTAAACAGTTAGTTTAAAGTCACTAGAAAATTGTTTTGATGAATAACACAGAAAAGGAACCAGTAGAGGTAAGGAGAATGAAGTTTATAAACGAGACGACATTTGACAATGTGTGTTGTTTCGTAAAGTTCTGCCTTTGTAATAATGATACTCCTAGACTCGTACGCTTCATAGTGCCATTGGGAGTAATTCTCAAACTCGGAGGGCTAACTAAAACCCCAAGTTTTAGCCGATGACTCACATCGTCAGCATGGCCTTCAAGGGTGTGAAGAAGACGCTCCTCAGGCATAGTCCACACGCGGATGCGGCGGTCTTGCGAGGCAGTGACGAGAAAGCGGCGATCTTCGGAGAGTACAATGTCGTGAATCATGCCGTCGTGGGGTGGAAAGACGGTCATTGCGCTGTCGCCTTCCAGCGTTGCGTTGATAGTAATCTGACGCACCGGTGTGGTGGTCAAGAGGTTCCACACTATCAACTCGCCCTTGCGGGTACCCGTCACCGCCTCCTCGTTGTTCAGGATTTCCGTCGCCTCCACCTTCGCCTCGAAGGTAATATACTTAGGCTGCACCACGCCCTATGAACCAAATGGCTTTTCGTTAGAAATTGATTACATCTCAGAGATGATGCAAGGCATATTTATTGGGCTATTTGTGTCTAGAATGAGTCGTGGAAACTGCATTCGATGGGCAATTCAATTGCGAGCTCTGGAATCAAGACAATAACTAATAATTCGGGACTCGTTCGGTTCTGCAATAAGAAGTTTGTACCTAACTCGAAAGGTGAATGAGACACATTTTAAAGTAAGTTAATCCCTTGAAAGTTAGACCACGTCTCTAGGGCTAAATCTGAAGCCGTCTTTTAGGACTAGCGTGCTTAGAAAGAATCCGCAAAGCTGCGCTCTTCAAAGAACCATTCCGTATACTGTCAGTTTGGAAGGAGTGATTAAATGTGGGAGGGCATAAAGGAAATTTAAATTGACTCAATCCCTCTGTACAACGCAGCTTCAAGTTACGCAAGAGACTTGATACAATCAAGGCCATACCGGACTTAGACCATTCAAACATCTATGTTACGAATTCAATTTCCAAAGACCTTGATTCTTCAAACCAGCCGAAACAATCAGAAATAGAGTTGCAACGTTTTACGAGTTTTTCTATTACCAGTCGTCACTTTAAATTAACCTCTTTTCTAGAATATTACAAAGCATTAGTGAATTTTAAGACAATGAGCCAGAAAGTCCGCTATCATTATGAATTATTTTGTCCTTAAATATACTAATCCATAATTCTTCTAAAAATGTTATCTTTCTCATATTACTAATAGAATATAGAAAAACACATCAAGTGAATAAATCAAACCGTAAATTTCACCACAGAAATGCCAATCAGACGATACGTGCGAAGTCCTTTTATCTGACAAAAGCAGATTGCTATCCTTTTTCTTATAAAAGCGATAAGGAATCTTGGTTCGAAACTACGAACGAAACCAGCTAAACAGTGATAAGTAGAAAATTAACAATGTCAGAACTGCACACTCGAAACACCAGCATTAAATGCAATGAAAAACCATTCAGACATCAGGAGGGTAGATAAATATTTTATTACTAAGGCATAAATATACCGGTCTTAACCACTACGCACTTTTGTCAGAAATGCACTGGCAATTCACGGCTAGAGGGAGTGCATTGACCCAGGTAGTGAATTAAAACTGAGCATTTTTAATCACATTGCTTACACGTGCTTCGGCAGCCAAATCGAAGACCATGAAACAGGCCTGATCAGTACCAGGGTTGTTGAATCCGGCCACAATCAGCCGATCCTCAAGTGTAATGTTGATATAAGAGACCCTTGCATTAGGATTAATTAGCGCGTAAGGTACCTCTCGCGTCAGCTGGTTACCCCTGAGATCCCAAACTAGGATTGACTGACCTTGAGGGGTAGCTCTCGCGGCTACAATGTGCTCTCCGGCGTTAGAGACACAGCTAGCCGAGCAGAGGATCTCAGCGGGCATCTCAAGTTGCTCACCAGTCACGAAGTTCCATAACTACAAGCGCACATATAAATATAAACACTTGCTTAATTTTTGTACGGTGAATTTTCTAATACAAAACGGCACCGAACCTGAAGACGATGCATCTTGGTGCTGTCAGCCGACTGAAAATCTTCGATGACCTGGCCGACAAGAAGCGTGTCTTGGACAGCTAGATGAAGGTCATTGCAACCCAATTCATCACCATTCATGACCTTGAAGGGCTCACCAGTCTAAGAAGCGAAAATTTTACGAATTAGAAAATGAGATGGAAATGCGAATGAATAAAGAGTACGGAGTGCGCCTACCTGCATGTCCCAAACTTGCGGTGGGCCATTGGCGGATCCCGTCACGACATAACGACTGTTTTGTGTAAGGACACAGCAGTCTACTTTGAGGTCGTCAGTTGTGTAAACATTGGGTACACCCTCCATATGCTGATCTAACATTGTCATGTCATACCTGAGGGAAGGAGGAACAAACGATGCGTTTAGGGCTCTTTATCACTCATCACTAAAGTCTCTAGAGCGCAAGCCCTGGAAGTGCAAATGTGAAGGTCGGATGGGTGAAGGCTTTTCCACAACAGAACAAAAAACTAGCATTTATTGTGCTTATTCGACCTTTTCCCATGTCCAAAAAGCTCGCGATTTCCTCAAATTTCTTTCCTTAGCAAATTCGGAGCGTTAATTTTAACAAGCCAACTGACATGAAATTTCAAGAGTAGTGGCTATCAGATCAGAGTTTGTCAGAATGAAGTCAGAGATGTGTAGCCAGTTGTTGCAAATTTGATATGGCATAATACAGGCAACTATTTGATAAAAGCGATTTTTGATTGCGTTTTGGAGCACTCCCACCACAAAGAATGGTGAAATAAGGGCGTAGTAAGTGCCCTTTTAAAGTTTATCACTTATATTAAAATAATTTTATCGCAAGGATTTCACCTCCAAATCCGAAATCATTTGATAGTCCAAAGATAGCCCTGTTTCACGTTTTCGAAGCAAATCCTCAAAACAAATTTTGTGAGATAGTGAGAAAACTGTAGATTGAGAATGAGAAGCTTACAAAGTCAAACCACCAACTATACTTCGCAGCAATCTCAAAATCAGGACTTTGAATTAAGCACAGACGCGATAAAAAGACATACGATCCTCCCAATTTAACCACAAATGAAACCATGAGATTTACTCCTCGGGAAAAGTATTAATCCCCAACTTTTAAGATCGAAAACACTTTCCAGTCTCCACTGGGAACAGGTTTTGGGTAAATGCTTCAGCATGACTCTACATCTCCTTATACGGTCTGCACGACTCAGGGGGAAGGGGGGCAGCTGAAAATTCTCGTGATTACAACGCCTCAGACACCTGACCTTAGAGTTCATCTGATTTGAACCCTTGGAACTGCCGCTCGTTGGAGTCGTTTAGCGAATTACCAAAAGGCATGTTCTCAATGAACGCGAGAAAGAATACAAATTTAGTAGTCGCGGTTAATGCCAATTTTACTGTAGTTTTTTTTGGGTTCAAGTGGAAGTTTGTTTGAAAATTCTTCAGCAATACCTTGTTTCCAGCATGTATCGAAATATTACTATTAGATAGTGAAGCAGAAATCGGATTTCCACCAATTATAAGTGAAAAGAGTTGGTACCTCAGATCTATAAAAAACCTGAATAGTGTTAGTTTCAGAGTGTTTCAAGGAGACGAAAATAATTTACTTGTTTTGGATGGTTCAATTTATTAACTTACTCTAAGCACGAACATGTGGTCTAAATCTCGCAATAGTTTCCTGAGCCTCACCTGTCGGTGATGTCCACCTGCCTATCTTGGCCAAAAACGTAGCCTGATTTAGATTGGCCTCCGGTGGTGAAGAAAGACGCGCCCCCCGGTGGTACGGGATGGAAATTGCCCGTCTGAAAAGGTATAGCAAAGGAAACCGATAATTATTGCAGGAGAGGACAAAATATAAGCCTCCAGAAAGGTCCTTCTTACCTGAGAAACACTGCCGTTGGTGGCCTGAGTAGGAGCAAAATAAAAGTGGTTAAAAGGGGAGAAAATCTCACCGATTAGTAGTGCGGAGTCATGCGATTAGATGGGTGCCTCGTTTCCTCCATTTATCTACCTTTGCAAGTGTGCTTGATTTTTTTTTCAATCATGGCTACCCTTACACAATACGTCGGTTGACGACACCGAGGAGCACGTAGACACCCGCAATGATAGGGCAGCTGGCAAATGTTGGATTCTCTCCGTAGGCAGTGCATCTACACACAGTCCAAATATTCCCATAGCAATTTGGTTCAGTTTTATTTACCGTAACGATAGCAAGACAAGTTATTTACAGTGGTAAACCTGAATAAAATCATCGATAACGATAGATGTTTGAAAATCTTGCATTTTCATTCAGGCTTCTTAGGAAACTTATGAGGCTTCGAGTTTTTCTTGCGCTAGAGATTCAATAAAGCTTTTTGTAGGTTCCTCCATTCGAATTCGTTCAAATTAAGTAAACTTTTTACATGGTCATCCCTCTCCATTCATTTATCACTATCGACTATTGGTAGTGAGGAATTGTTTCCTTCTTACAATAACAGGTGGTATCAGTAGTTACGCAGGCATTGCTTTGAATTCTTAGAAGTTAAGGACAATTCACTATTCAAATTTAGTCCTCGAGGGACCCTAAGGCTCCACTTTCTTGAACTCTAACCTGGGAATTTGTGATTTCGGCTGCAACCAATTGGACGTCTGGAGCACTCTACATCTATCACATCAGAAGGATCACTTTTCAGCTTTTAATTCCCTTATAGATGACTCTGTGTGAAGGAACCCGGACCGTGGTATGGCTTCGGCTTCCATTATTTAACATACGACAGGAAGTTGTTCCTTTTTGACGTAACCCAAAGCAAATCTAATGTATTATAGGCGGTACGGCACACTAAAATGACAACTTGTTACTCCCAAACAAAATGAGGGGAAAAGAGCGGGAACGTTTTGAATCATTTCCGTAGATAAATGCAGCACTTGCCACAGCTCAAATATAAAGATATTCGCAAGTTGAATTTTGCGATCTCAATTCAAAAAGACCATGACTACAACGGGCGTGACGGAGGTGGCATTAAACAAATGAAAATCATGCAATGCATTACAAAAAGTGGAATAGCTAATAAATTTGAGTAAATTCACTTCTTACCATTAAATCAGTAAGTATTCAGCCAAGTCAATTTCTTAAGCGATACAGGTATTGCTGAATGTGACAGCATCAAAAATGCGTAGAAAGTAGAGCAGAAATCAAAATGCAGCACGGTGCACAAAAACTCACTAAAAGTGGTTTGGAACTCACTAAAAGGAAGAAAAATGCGCAGATTAAAATTGAAGAATTGAAAGCAAAAAAAGCAGCCGAAACAAAAAGCACACTGCGGACACATGGGCAAGCTCAGGCGGGACAGACAAATGACAACCATGGCGCAGGTAAAAGAAGTTCAACAAATCTCGCACGAATGAGGCATCGGTTTTGTGCTTTTTATAAGCAGACAAAGCATAACTTCAGTTTCTGAGCAGTCAAGTCAAACCGGTTTGAATAATCATTCATGCGTTCCAGTAAAAACAGAAAAGTGATTTGCTAATAGTTATCGCCTAACTGGAAGCACAAAACTTCACTCCCAACTCGAATCCATTTGATATTCTAACACGTCTCCGAAAGCGGGATGAGATTATACCTTAATCAATAAAAATCTGGATTTTGTGAAACAAAGTCAATGGAGACATTCCATAAGAGAAAAAAACATTAAAACTTGAATCTGTGAAGAGGATGAAGCCAGATTAAGCATACTCAAGAACTTATCAGCACCCAACTCCTTCCCTCAAAAAAAATGGATGATTTTCTAAATTGTGGTTTGCCCTCGACGTTTAATCCACCATTACTGGCAAACGATGAGAATATTAGAAATACCTTACACAAATAACAAAAAACTATGCAAATAACCAGGCATATGAGCGACTGAAGAAATGATTATTTCAATAAAATGAAGTTCGACTAATACCGAAGAGAGAATACTGAAAATTGTCCACAATTGTAGTCAAACCAAAACAGCAATTTCACCTCATACTGTGCCGGTAATCTTGGAAAACTTAGAGAATTCTCAAGTCCTGATCTTGGATATCGGAAATTAAAAGAGAACAGAGGCGAAAAAAAAAAAGCGGAGAGGTAGTTATCATCGTCCCCATCAAGAAAATTACAAGGCTAACCAAGTGGCGGTAAAGGTCCTCTGATGATCGTTAGCTGAACAGAGCCTAACTGCTTACCAATTCCACAGTGGTAATTACTGATTGCTGATGAAGTGATTTAATTGTGCACGATTTTGCAGCTAACTTCGAAATGCTGTATGCTTAGCCTACTTTCAAACCATTACTGAATACGATGAGGTTGTTTTGGTAATAATCGTGCTAAAAAGGCTGAAACCCGAATCAGTTTGTAATCAGCAGTTATATTTTAAAATTACTCTGCACGGCTAGACGTCTCAGATGATCGCTGAAACGTGAGAGAATAAGCAGGGAGTGAGCATGCTTTGAATCGATTAAGAACTACAGAAACGATGGATTGCTAGAAAACTTTCAAAAAGTCCGCAGTGGATGCCGAAATGAAAGCCAGCTGCATAGTTAAATTCCTCTTAGTAATCAGTTCTTTGCTTCTTCTACCCTTATCCTATTAACCATCTAAACACTGAAAAGAGGCACTGAAAAGAATGGGCGATAAGTGGCACGCCGCTAAATTACAAAGGGCACTGAGAAAATAACACAAGAAGCAGCAGGTGCATCCGTGCAGCAGTGCGAGTGAAGGCGAAGAAATGGAATGGAGAAGAGGAAGCGCAAGCGCGACGATGACATGCGCGTGACGGTACAACGGCGAGTGGGAAGAGCCCGCACATACCGAGGAGGCCTTTGTCAGCCGGCGGAGGCGCCCAGAGTCCGGCAGAAATGCGGTCCATGGTGTCGTGGAACTTACCGCCAGCCGTCTTGCCCCCTGCGCCGCCAATGCAGCAGGGACAGAAACCGGGCTTGCATCGCCAGCAGGCCCAAATGAGCGCGGAGATGAGGGGTAGAAGACAGACTAGAATGCCCGCTAGCCAGGGGTTGATGAGACCGAAGAAGCCCGCACCGCCAGCCTGCAGAAGCAGTGGTCCAGAGCCTGCGAAAACACCGCTTGCACCACCTCCGTAGCCCATGGCTAAATGTGGAAAGAGGAGGTAAAGTAGTAAAGTGAACGCAAGTTGAAATTTGCAAAGCGCTTGCGAATCAAAATCGACTACTAATCAATCCGAAAGGTCAGTGGCTGGGCGAACTTAAGCGTAATCGACAATGGATGTATCTCACCCGGCGAAGAATCATCCAATAAAAAATATCCTACTGAAAATAACGGGTAAATTATGCAGATGAGAAAAAGTGCTGTAAGAAACTTGGGATCCTTGAAGTCAACAAAAACGATTTGGCTCAATCGACTGAAAAGGACTGCTTGTTTCTTTTTACCAAGCAAAAAGCACCATCAACAATTGAACACATCTTAACAAAGTCAATCTTCACTAGAGCCTAAAGCATGTTTAACCTCTTTATTTTGCCATAAAAGGTTATTATAAACAAAGAAGGAACCTAATTTCTCAATGCGTCGACTTTCGCAGATACACGACAAAATTCTCCTTCTCAATAATAGTGAACCAACACGAAAATGTTGCATTTATCAAGGATCTTTTATCAATATGCTTGGATAAATTACTTAAGTACTAGATGAATGAAAATGCTGATTAGCAGATCGAAAACAACGTAGGTGTGGCAGTTTACTCGATAGGATGCATGCTGATGTTTTGGAATAAATCAGATGCTGGCAACAATTTTATAAAAAATCAGAGACTTCCGTTTCGGTAGAGGAATAAGCATCGCGGTCGAAAAGTAGGTGAGAAGAAAGCAGTGGCCCTGAGTTACAAAAAATGTTAGACAGATCAAAGAATCTAGGTAAAAACTATCAAAATCCACCCAAGACCCTATGAAAACTGAAAAATGTAATTTGTAGCTGCATTTTTACATCAACTTAGTCGAGAGATGGTAGTTTTATCCAAAAAAATCGCATTTTTGAAATCAGTTGCTCATTCCCACGGCACTTTCTATTAGGTCCAGCCAGTATTTGCATTATTAACCATACGATTGCGAAGCTAAACAAATTTGAGGCCGTTTGGCCCTCCTATCGCGAAAGACCGACCATTTACATGAGGCTAAATGCCCCCAAAACATCGCAAATAGAGTAGCTTATAGTTGGATGAATAAGTTGGATAAGTAAATGAAAATGATGGCTAGATAGTTAATAGGCAATAATGTTTGCAAAACATCAAAATATAGAATGATTAAACGACAAATGAATCGCACCAAATACAGTGCTTTGTGTGTTTGTTGTAAAAATTCAAGCAGACAGTGAGTGGAGACCGAAAAATCACATCAAATGTAGTTAGAAAAGACTGGGCGCCGAAAGCTTTGCAGTTAGGAGGCGATGAGGAAAACGAGGCTTACGATTGTTTAAACTCTTGACATCTGGAAAGAAGCCTCTTGGTTAGACACTAGCATGGTTTTCGTATCTGATAGCTTGCATTGCCTCAACAAATGGACAAATCGCAAAGGTCGATTGGACCAACGGACGTGACTTCTTCATTTAAAAGAAATGCTTACTTTGGAAGGCTACTAGTGGTTGAATTTTATTCGATGGACAAAGCAAAAGGCTCAAGTGATCGTTGGAAGTGGTCTAACCGACACTTTTAGCAGTTGGATTCCAAGTAAAAGTTTCTCATTTGTTCACTACTTACTGATATCTTGTTGACAACTGCTTTGATGGAGTATTACTGCTCGCGGCATTTGAACCACCTTATCTTGTATGCCTTATGGCCATTCTTTTTAACAATAATTTTGCCCCAGCAAAAAACTCCTCCTACCCATTGGCCAGAGCGCGGAAAGAATGCTTCTACAAATTACACTTGTTCACACAGCCATTAATTCTGTAAGGTAAACGAGCTACGATTTAACAAATTGCTAAGTCAATACAACTGTGGGCAAATGGATCTCACATTACCCCAAGTAAGCATTGAGAATCGTGTTTCATGTACCAGTTGGAGCGTTAGGCCTACGAAATCGTGACAATGGCGATTCGGCTATTATCAGTCACCGCTACTTTAATGGTTAAAACTCTAAGCAAATGGTAAAATTATTAATAAACTTTGGTTAGCCATGGCCTAATTTGCTTGAGTTTGCTCATCAACTGTTGGAGGAGCAAGATCCCAAAACAATTTTACTGATCCACTATCGCAAATTATGTAAGACATAAGGTAGCACAAATACCAGGCTGGTTGAACTTACAAGGAACGAAGAGACTGCCTTCACCGGCACCGCCAACAATGGCGCCTCCTTGAATGCCATCGGGGGGGATGAGAGGGGGGAAGGGGAGGGGCGGTGCAGCAGTAGTATCCAAGGGGGGTTGCATGAAGTGTGGCATTACCACGATCACCACATCTTCTTTTTTGCCTACGCCTCGGCCCGGTACTATCATCACGTTCGATTCAGGAGACAACTCGCCGTTATCGTTTACGAGTAGCTGACCGTTCCAGTCAAACGCTATGAAGGTGAAAAGACAAGGCAGGTCATCGACACCAACGCCTATTCTGGGTAATAATGACCATCGGTGAAGCATCCAAGCCAACATAAGCGATTAAAATTAGAGAAATTTCAGGACCTATTAGCAAATCTGCGTCACATGTTTTGACATGTACTTTATCAACGTCACACCTGATGCCCCACTTTCCTTACTAGAGCCCACTGTGAAGTATGTGACATGTTTTCTTCATCGGTTGATGAGAAGTGGGTATACCAAATCGCATCGTACAAACAGATTGATTGAGTAATGCATGATGTAGGATATGCGCGATCTGAGGAAAATCAAATTTTCCCAAAAATTTGAGTGGCAGTTGAATGAGAGTTTGGAGAGGCAAGTATTGGATGCCATATTAGAAAAATGAAATAGCTCGGCTGCTATAGGCGATTTCCACCTAAGACTATGATGCCTGTACAAAAAAAATTGATTTTAGACTGGTGGTCCTTTTTGATGAAAGGATGAAACAGTAATTTGTATCAAATACATAGGAGGAAACTTTTGGATCTCTAACCAAAACTTCGGAACGTGTCCCCTATCTGAAAATTCTGTGATATAAGCGAACAAACTTGGGTCTCTTTTCGGTGAAAATTCATTTTAACGATTTTCTATTTTTTCCATGAAGCTATAAGTTTATGCAAGAACCCAAAAGGTACCAAGAAATTGTTTGACTGAGAAAATTGTGCCACTCCTTTGCATTAGAAGGAAGCCATATGTTGAAACACTAAATATGAATACTAGTTTGATTCAATATTGTCAAGTGAAGTAGTCATTCCAATGGTTCACTTCGACGATTTGGAGGTTTTGCGATCTGTCATTTGTCCGTTCCATTCAAATAATTACTTCTGTCCTTGAATCATCATAGTAGGGAATGAAGGGCTGCATTCTGGTGGTAGCGGAAAAAAACCACCTTTTGTACTCATGGTAGTAAGAAAGCAGTAAAGTGAGCCTATTGTTTCCAATCCTATTCCCACCGAAGTGATTCGCTGATAATGATCCTCTAGCAATAGCACAGTATCATTAATCAAACTATTTTATTGGGCAAATCCTAATTGTACCGAGTAAAATGAACTAGTACCACAAACAATGAAGTCAGCACGAACTGACTTAATTATGACCCCGCGTAACTCATTTGGCACCAAATTAACCAACGAGTTTTACTTTGCAATTGGTATTCATTTAATTTATAGTGGTTCAGAAATTGCTATTTAAAAATACTTTCTTCTAGCACCATTTATTATTTGATGATCGCAAGCATTAACTTAAATATGGTGGTGTGTGTAAGATGGATAGTTGTGAATGCTCGCATCGTATAAGAAATTGGAGGGCTCACCTCCAAGAACGCCGTTGAATGAATGGGTGAACTTGCGATCAGCGCCGAGGATTAGCTCATTCGTGATCAGCGCACCGTTAGAATCGACAAGAGCTGTAGGGACGAAAAGAAGAAAGCATGAGGGTACTATCCACCACAATTACTCCACTCGCACACTATGCTCGAGAAAGCAAAATGTTGACATATGAGACACATGCATGACCTACCATTAATAGAAGAGTAACAGTGAAACGGTATCAAAAATACCAACTTAATACCACACTAAGGGGTGAGATCAAAAAACGAGAACGCTAAGGTAGAGACTAAAAGGGAGTGATCGACATGAGGAAGAACTATCCCATTATCTCATTAAACAGCCAGGGAAATGGGAAGGGATGCAAATCTTAGGGTCTATAAAGTTAAGGTTGAACAAGTCGTTACCCTCAAGCGTAAACGTGCTTGACAAGTCTAGTGTCTCGACAGTTCAAACTCAATAGAAGTAAAATATCTAACTTTTATCTGTACTTCACATTGGGAGTTTTATTTAATAAATTCAATAACAGTTCGCTTTTGACCTTTTTAATTAGAGAGTTGATAGCCAATCCAATCATCCCACCTGGTAGACGCCTAAGTGGATGGGATTCAAGGTAAATATTAGCCTGATATATCTACAAGTACAGTCTGATTAATAACAAAATTTACCAGGGGCATTACCATCAACTCGATGCTCTTCCATTTAGCATCCAAAAAATTGCGTAGTTTTTTGGTTAATTCGACTCGGGCTGCGGATTTAGTGCACGAAACTAATCTACCCAACCAGGTAGATACGATTTTACTGTCTGATAATCGGAGATTTGCTGAAACTATTTAATCGAAATGCGACAGAATGTAGCACAGAACACCGAGGGTGCTCCATGAAATGATGAACTGAATCGGATGCCAGTGCTTATGAAGTACTTGTGCCAAAAATATTTTTAAAAAATTGTGCCTAATTTGACCTCGAAACCTGATCCCCATTATGGAATAGAATGTCGAAAATATCTGAGAGTGTATACAACCCATAAACAGAGCCCGAATAATATATCTTAGACGATATCCTTACAAAAAAACGTCAAAAAACGCCAAAGCTACTGCTGATTTAGGCAATAAGCTTAGGTGGTCTGAGGCATTCTTTTTAAGTAAAGGTTGGACGAATCCTCAAAAATTATCAAATGGTAAAACACATCTAAATAAATTAATTCAACGCCAATTTCCCGCCTATTGACACGTAGCTAGCACATATAAAGTTGAACTTTTTAACACGCATGAGAACACCAAAAATCGCTTGCATGCCATTTACCATTCTCGAGTCACATCTAAGTAACCCACCACCTGCAAGGTACACAGAAAAAGTGTGTTTAAGTTATCTAAAAGAACCAAAATCAACTATTTATAACTAAAAAACATCGCAGCAGTAAGTGGTGCGAATTGAAATCGTGATTAAGCAACTAGGGATACAAAAACATAGAATGACTGACTCGCATGGAAGTCACAACTACTTGGTGTACAACGGAAATACCAAAAGTGCCACCTAATATTTAGGCTGCAGCACGTCGTAGCACAATTGGATAATTTTTGTAGATACAGAAAATTACTGCCTCTCCAACAGTCATGCGAACGTGCAAGTCTGCAGGCACCACCCATCTGATTGGCTACGTGGTGCAGTGCGACCTTCAGTCGACCACTGATTCGCATAAATCGTTGTTTCGATGAAAAATTAATCGCGAATTTGGTTTTTCGGCTTTGTTTTATCGTCAAGGCTACGTGGAGATCAGAGCGGTGAAATTGCATGGGGAAGGATACTTACATTTGTCGACGTAGATGATGCGATGACCGTCAACCGACCAGTCAAATCGACTTCCGTTGCGAACCAGAGTGATCACGTGCATCTTGGCATCATCGCACTGTTGGTAGGGCGCGCTGATTAAACGGATTTCATCCTTGCTGTTCGATACAAACACTTGTTGCCCTTTCTACAGGTTATTAAAAAAACCGACAATGGCACTTCCATTGCACGCAAAATTGATCAATTAAATCTATTATTAGCAGTCTGAGTAGCTCACTGTTTTTACTTCAAACACGGAAATAATCAGTTGATCAAAAACAAGCAAAGCCACGGTATATGATTGCCGTGTAATACTGATACTCTCCCAAACGATTGTGAAGCATTTGAGAGGCCTTCGGGCACGTACAGAAGAGGCAAATTTTGAAACGGAGCCATGACGATTCAATGAGATTGACGGCGTTTGTTTGCAAAGCCATTGTTCACGTTACCAATACAATTCACTGGCTTTAGCAGCTAAATTTCAATTGCTTCATAAGCTCATGGTGAAAACAGGCGCAAAAAATTGTGGATATAGTTTAGAGAAGTGATTCATTCATGCTCCCATCTCTGGGAGAGAACGGGCCTCATCTCAGTGCAGAACGTTCGGATTAAAACTTCGCATTACTAATCCGAGAGTTACTTCCTTTGTCTTGTCAAGCGAAAAGACGAATATTTGACTGATGGGAAAATCCCATATAATGAAGCCGGAATTAGTGAGTGGACAAATAAATGGATCCGTGCCTGAACAGATCTGTGTACCTGTGGTGCACGAAATAACAATGTTGACCGGACTAGCTTGCTCCAAAAATGAAGGAGTGCCAATAGGGGGAAAAAATTTATGGCAACAAGGCAATTTGCATAACCGAAATGATAATATCAGCGGAGGCGACGTAGAAAGCAAAATATTCACGTAGGAAGTGATTCATTGAACTCAAGTCAGTAATGAATGAGTCGCATTGGCAGTATCTCTCGGTCCTACTACCTTTAGCAGCACAAAGAGAGTTAATTTCGTATATTCGAACCTAGATACGGAGACAAGAAATGCCCACAAATGACGTCATCATCATCAGCACCCACACGCATTCTGCTTTGAGTTAACCGTGCAGTGTACGCGGTGCACAGCTGCTTTTCGTCCACGTCTGTAGACGCACATTTGATCATTTCAGCGCCCTACCTACTAATGTGAAGTATTCTCAGGCCCCTCGCGCCAGTGACGCAATTTGCAACATTTACCAACACCGCATTGGTAAACCGGCCATTTTAAAGTTTTGAGTATATTGACCAGTAGGAAATTAACGTGTTTACCAAATTTGCTATGGAAATTCGATTGGTTCGACTTAGCTAATATGGTCAGTAAGAAGTTCAATAGTGCGATCGATATCGACAAACATAAAACAGTGCTAGCCAGATAAATTAGGGTTTATGCGAATTTTTGAAAACTGGTTACCTAACGCTACCTTATCTGATAAATGACACTGATTTAGTTCACCAGTTATCAACAAAGAACAAGTTCTATACAAACAGAACGAAACGTTCTTTGAAAATTCTACTAGAATTCCCTATCTTATTTCCATATATTTGATTGGTAACAATTAAAATTAATTAAATTGCAGCCAAATATCTGGAAAGCAACAGTTTTGGCAGAACCCGAATCTAGCTTTGCAGTGAAATCTCAAGGGATTCTATTTGAAATTACTACTTTGGCATGAATCAAAACACATCAATACCACCTATTCCCTACACAATTTTTACCATGCTGTGGTATATAATGGAGTGTGAAATATGCAAAAGACCAAATTTCTTCATTACCAACTAAATTTGTGTCGTACGAGTAATTACTTTGGGTTAATACAAATAATGAATTGATGGACAGACAGATGGATGAACACAGGCTTTGACAAATGGACAGATGGATGGATCCGGGATTTACGTGTGAAAAAGAGGCGAGAGCAGCACTTACCATGTAGATTTCGTAGAAACGTCCATCGGACAACATGAAACGAGCGATGGGTCCATCAGTGGCGTAAGTCTGGAAGGCCACGCGCATACGATCCAGGTTGGTGAGCTTCGGCGGCACTACTTTGATGATAACGTAGGCGCCGTTGCCGCTCGTCGAGGGCAGAACACCGTGTGTAGCTGCAAGAACATTTGAACAGTTTAACGCAGCACAATTTCTTTATATATAGATAGCTTGACGCATGGCACATAGCTCAAAGTATGGCTATCGGTTTAAACAGCATCTTGACATCACTTAGGTTCGACCGTAATACCATCGGAATAAACTCAACGTTGATCAACAATGAGCACTTCCTTCTCTAGTGTTCCTTCGTTTATGTCCCCACCTGCATCAGTGCTTCATGGAACAGCTGCTAACGCCGTTGTCAACACCCATAAAAAAGGCGGTTGAAAGTAACTAAGCTTTTTTCAGAATTGTAGCGAGCTCACCACTTAGTGCTTTACTTCCTACAATGTTTACAAAAATCTTATTCAAATCCAGTCAGTAACATCATTTTGAAAAGAGATTGCTTATTTTGTGCTTTCAAGGCAATATACTTGTATGGTAGGGTTTCCTTACTTTTAGAATCTTTTGCGTGAATCCTCAGTAGAAATCACGATGAATGAATAAAATTGTTCACAGAAAGTTACTACGAGCTCACAATAAAGTATCCTTAATGAAAAATTACACTTACATAAAGAATAATTTGCTTAGAGAACGGGAAGAAGTTAAAAGGTAGCAAATAATAATACAGTGTTTCTCGAGATTACATTTCATTTGAAGAAATCTCGTCTAATCCTTAAAGGTAACTAAGAAACATCATGAACGACTCCTTTGACCTTGATATCTCCTACCCTTTCCCTTTATAAGGCGGCAAGTCTCTGGTTTCCTAATATTATCATCAACTCACGTTTTTCGCATCTGGAGCCCTGCCAGCCAGTTAGCCTGCAGTCACATTTCAACTCGTAGTCCTCCACATAGCAGACGCCACCGTTGAAACAGTAGTCCGCAGGGCAGACAGGAACGGGCTTCTTGCCGGGCAGTATGAAACTCGGCAAGAGCACGTAGATCACATCACCGGTGGCGATTTGCAGTCCACCCTTTGCCTCATCTACGGGATAGCGACCGTTCCAGTAGAGGCCTGTCGTAAATCGGAGTCATTGGTTATCGTATAAAATTAGATCCAAGGCATTATGCAAAGAACGATGAGGGCGAATTGGCACTATGGAGAATTAGATTATGCAAATTTATACGCACTCACCACCGATAGCACCATGGAAGATGTCCTCCTTGTTCTTATTTGCGCCGACGTAGAGAGTAGTATAAGTGATGCTCTGGTCACTCCTTTCAGTGATGCCTGAAAATACGGACAGGAGAGATTGAGCTGTTAGTGTTTAACAGATAGGTTTTCAGTTTCCGTTTTTCTTCTCCATTTCTGATAGCTTTTCAATTATTACTTGAAAATTTTCTTTTTCAGGTAGGGGGGGTAATCTAACGCTCGGTTATTTACAAAACCCATAATAAGTTACTTCAGCCCATCATTGCAGTTAGTGCCCCAAATATGCAAACATGTTCACCTAATTAGATATTTTTGTCCGAAAAAGCAATCTACTAGATCTATTAACACATTTGTACATTCTCATTGCATTAACAAATGAACATTATATTAGCTTCTGTTTAAAGTTAGGGCGTTTCTAAGTCCATGATTTCAATTATATCTGTATTAATACATTCAGATTGGTTATAGAGAAGAAAATAGGTTAACCTTTAATATTTGCGGTTGTTTAGGATGAAACAAAGTTGAAAATCCCTTTTTATCATCTCTGTCGGCACCTTTAGTAACCTTTGTTCGAAATAATGAAACATAGTTCCAACTCAATAAGAAAGTCACGAAACTTTCAGCCAACCGAAACCCAGTCACACTGTACTAATGTGTGTACTTATATATTCCCACTGATTTTCTACTTTAAATAATGAAAAATCACGCTTTCCTCTGAGAGAGAAGGTCACTCCTGACAATTAACTCCTCAGTAGATTGCCCGAATAAAGGGTTATTTGTTTGATACATATTTAAACAGATATTAGTGAAATGTGTATACGTATGAGGACACAAAGAACATAAGTGCTTAAGGTTAATCATTTTTTAAAAAACTACTACACTTTCTAAGTATTTTAATTAATCATTTTGTAACCCTAATCAACTCTAGTTTGAAAACAACAAGGTAAATTGGTTTATTTCAATGTCGAATGCTTGCCTGTCATTGGAAGGTTGACAATCTGGTCATTATCGAAGGTTACTAGCATCCGATCTCCTTTGCGCTCTACGCTGACGACATGGTAGGCACCGTCATTGACAACGTTGGGATACATATACTCCTGGCCATTTCTATCTATGACTATATGACCATTGCGCTAAAATACAAAAAAGATGATTTCAGTGCAGCGATTACTTGAATTACCTTATTTGTATGGATAATGAATAAGCTGGGAGAATCCTGGGAGAATTTCGGACTTTGCTTTAGCGTTTTAATCAACATTCAAGTCCTCAAGCCGTCTCTTCTTTGATTCACATAGAAGAATCTAACCAGCGATCGAATATCTCTACCATGTCAACGTGTCTTAAATGGTGCAATGCTAATGAGAGTGCCAATTCAAACACTGCTTTCGGTTCATGAGAGAATTACTGTGTACCGACTTTCGCTGCAGTTTACTCTCAACGCGAGTCACTCATGTGACCTTTAAACTGGTGACCAATAGCACGGTGCGTTCAGTTCACTAATTAACTCATCCGTGTTTCCAGCTGTCTGCGCTGTTATTTCGCGACTCAGCTCATCAGTCGTTTCGGGAAAATAGCCCTAAATAGTCAGTGACCCAAAGCATTACTGCTAAACCAGATCCACACTTTTTAAACAATCGTCAGAATGATTAAAGCTATCGAAACCTACCACCTTGATGCCCCAATGCGCTCCAGTGGTGGTGACGAAGTCAAGAATGGTTCCAGACTGGGCGTAGGTCTTGAAACCCACTGTCACATTATCCACCTTCGTCTTCAGTGGCGGATTAAGATCGTACACCATGTAGCCGATCTTCTCATAATCGATGTAAATACCATTGACATCTGAAAGCAAGGCGAATAAGTGAACAGTCAACTTAAATATTGCATAATTATTTCGCGGATGAATGACAGCGACCATATTAATACACACATAGGCTAAAAACAAGGGCATGACACTACAACCTCATAGACGACTCCTGTTTCATCATTGGTTAACCTGAACGCTGTACTGGCGGCGGAGTGGTGATGTATACCCTTATCCCTTGCAAAAAAATATGACAGTATTCAGCATATTCGAATAATAACAACTTAAAGGGATTAGTAGTGCAGTAGAGCAGTAGCATGGGAATCGAGCCAAACTGGGCTGAAAGCAGTTTGTTTGAAATGACAAAAACTTACAATACATCTTTTACTCTTCAATAACCACAGATTAGCACAAAATGAGTATTTCAGGCACTTAAGTGAAATTCAAACTCGAGGATATCCCATACTCGCATGAATTCAAGTTGCTCAAAATTTCATCTTACGTGGTCAGCGACCCCAAATTTTTAATTATTCCTAACTATTAAATCAAAGAAACTTTTAAGTAGAAAACGAAAACGTACCTACTTATAAATATCGTATTCCCCAATGATCTAAATATAAGCTTAAATGGGCGGTTAGTACCACGGACATTAAAATTATCCCATTTTATAGAAACAAAGTTATAAGAATATTCGTAGAAAATTACAGACTTAAACCTACATGCATTATAGTTACAAATTAAGAAATAAGTCAAAAATCTTGAGCAGTTAGGGCATGGCTCTGTAGCTACGCAGAAAATCTTGAACAAGTGGTGAAATTTTTATGCGCATATGTCAAGTACCTTCGAAGGTAGCTAGGGCTCTTCGAATCTCGAAACAACCTAAGCCCATGCCCAACAGGTTAATTAAAGCATGACGAAGTGATGATTTAAAGTAGACAAAATAGGTATCCGCCTATTGTTCCTATTGCTTCTCTTACCTTAGCCCATTATAGAATGAGAAAATCTTGACACATTTTAACTGCACAAACTTCAAAAGGATGTTCAAACAATTGTTTGGGGGTCAGATCTCCGAATATATTCGACTTCACTCCCAGGTGAAAATGCGCTTGTTGTATAATATGGTTCAAACCGCACAATGTATTCTTTTGAATCGTGATTTTTTTGGGAATTGCTACAACTCACCGCCGTCACAGGTGGGTCCACTAAGTCCAGTCTTCCAGCAGTTACAGACGTATCGTCCTCCAGGCAGGACAGTGCAGATGCCGCCATGACAGTAGCCAGGCGGGCAGGCGATGGGATCGCTACATGTGGGGCCCTGGAAGCCCGTAGCCAGACAGTTGCATGTGTAACGCCCACCCGACACCGTGCACAAACCACCGTTCTGGCAGTAGCCAGGCGGACATGTCTTAGGCGTCTCGCAGCGGGGACCCTGTCACCAACACAGAGAAAATAAATAGCATCGGAGCTGAAACATTTGCTGTCACACTTCCTCAATGCGCGTGAACATTCCCCATTTATAGATCGGAACGCACCCATCTCAGTAAAACACAAACATAGGTGGCAATTTCCGATTTGATTTTAGATATAACCGAACCCTATTTAAGTCTTTCAATTCCATCTTACTTTGGCCATTGTCTCAAAACTGTGCTCGGGACTTACTCAGACTGTGTATAGGGACACCCGATGAATTTTCGAGTTAGAAACACTATCATAACGCCACCGCAGTAAGAAGTGGTAAACGTATCTGTTCTATCGCTAATAACCACTATAAATGTTCAAAACCAGTCCAGACAAGATGACAGGCAATGGGGGTAGTGGACGCTGGCATGGAGTAGCGTATGGTAGTGAAATTTCTCGCAAACGAAGCCGTAAAACCCGAGCTTGTGAATATCGCCTCTTACATATAGAAAGCTTGAAGAACGGTACGTAAACATAGCCAAATGGTATAAATGTTTCAAAGACAGCAGTGTGGCTGTCGGTGACGATCCCGATCGCAGACTCGGTAGTCGTTCCTATGCAAATTAAGCACGTAAAATACCTGATTCTGGACACCTGATCGACGCATAACCTGTCACGAAGTTGCACAAGAGAAGTTTTTCTGATGGAAACACTGTGTATCAAGATGAAATAAAGCCGTACGGACAAATCTTTCCTTTTAAAAGCTTTCCAAATACCAAACTAAATGCTGGGATTATTTTATAAATGTAAGATAGGCCCATGTCGAAGGACTGCGTCACTTTAACTTAAAACGTGTTCTTTTCTTCGAGGCATAAATTCAAGTTACAGCTCACCTTGGCCGCTCCTCGTACACCCAAATATCTTGGTGTAAAAATCACAGCAAAATCTTGAGATACGCCCCTGATATACAAATTGAACACCTTTCAATGCACCTTCAACTCTATCAAGAACTCAAATACATCACAGCACTACTACAATAGCCAGCGCAGAAGTGGAAGAAAACGAAGACAAGGTTAAAAATAGGAACATCGGTAATGTAGTGAAATAACAATTTTTAGTAAGGCACAGACCTTTTCAGTTTTCACTGCTAGCGGCATGGATCCCTGCTCATGCCAACTTGGCTACTAGCACTACTCCAATCTTCAATGACAGATCGGGTGCTGGATTGACAGCAGTCGGTGAACCCACCTCAAAAAAACCAACTTTTCGATTTCATCGCTACAAAAGTAAAATATCTACTACAGGTGGTTGGATCTGCAGGGACTCACGCCGACTTGTTGCAACTACCCATATCTCAAGTTCTGCATAGAGGCCAGTAATGGAGTAAGACTAAGTTCTGACACCGAAATAACCCATGTTTACGGGCAGATTCAAAACTCTTGTGCAGTTGTTCTGAAATCCATTTAAATTCTATTCTTTGTCATTCTTTACACTAGCATGGCTATTTTCCAACTTTACCCTACTCCTATAAACTGAAAGGGCTTTAGTGTTTGCTCATTCTAACTACCGAACGCCACTAGGTCTGTATGCTTCGTGGACAGAAATATTCGCATAACAGTCATCCTGTCAATATAAACCACTTCTTACCTGATAATCGGTGTTGATGCAATTGCAAACAGGCATTCCACTCTGCATAGTGCACTCGCCACCATGGTAGCAGTAGCCTGGGGGACAGGTCTTAGGCATCTCGCACTGGTCACCCTCGTAGCCCTCGGGACAGCGACAGTGGGGTCTACGGTCGGGGCCTGGATAGCAGGTGCCACTATGGTGACAGAAACCTGGGGGACACACCTCCAGCTGGCATTGGGGGCCCCAGTACTCGAGATGACACTCACACACGGGACGGCCTTGCTCAACCCGACAGGTTCCATGGCCGGAGCAGTAGTCGGGCGAGCAAATGGGCACCTCACACTTGTCTCCAGTGAAAGAGGTATACGAGCAGTCGCAGAAAGGCAGTCTATTGGGTAAGGCGCGGCAGACGCCTCCGTTAAGACAGTAGCCCTCGGGACACACCGGTGAAGAACAGCGGTCATCGGTGAAACCCGTACCGGTACAATCACATTCCGGAGCGGAGGAACCCGGACGAATGAAGCAGCGTCCGTTGTTCAGACAGTAACCTGGTGGACAGACCGGATAGTGGCATCTGGAGACAAGGGAAAAGAGGCTCACTGTTAGATTCCACTGCCCCATTTCGGTGAGACTCAAACACTATTGTTACGGAACATGAATTTTTAGGCTTATACTAAAAACAAGAGTTTCAAAGTATTCAAGAATGGGTAAGTGAATTTGAGGCTTGAAATTTCAAGATGGTAAAAGCATTCGAGACACTATCAATACCTCCTTGCTAATAAAAAAGCAACATTACATTACACTCTTACGATAGATATTATTCCAAAAATCGGACAGTTGGGTAGCTATCAGAAATTATTTTAGCTTCGAATAATTTCGAGGAAAATTGGCTGCATTTATTTCTTTATTCTGCAACGGTGGTGATTCACTCACCGAAATAAATGACCCTTTATTTGCATAAATACATACTCCTGTTAGGTTTTTCGAAAGAATATATGCGTTTTTCACAATAGAAGCATATTTCTGGATCCCATACTGATAAAATTTTACTAAAGACGAGACCGAAGTTTTTCAGAAAGAAAAGGAGATCATGTCCGTGTGCTGGCTTTTTATGAACTTCACTGTACTAAAAATAAAGTTTTATATTAATTTAAACACAACTTTATCAATAATTAATGAGTGGTGGATTGGCATGCAAAAATGAGGACTACCACAAAGTACGCCACTATATGGGTTCATCAAAAGTTGATTCCAAAGCATAGTTGTTCAAAAATTCTTACTACTAACTCCTAGTAAGCAGATTCCTTAAAACTATCCATCTCAAAAGATTACCCACTAAATAGACACGCAAGGGGTCCCAGAAAAGTGTGTTTTTGTTACCTATCACCACCGAAATTGCCAGTGCAGTTACATCGAGGATTGCCATCGTAAACATAGCAGACACCTCCGTTGAGACAAAAGTTGGGAGGGCAGATGGGATGACTGCATCGGTCACCCCGATAGTCCGTTCCACTGCAGTCACATACCGGTCGGCCATTCTGCACAGTGCAGCGTCCACCGTTTAGACAAAAGCCGTCGGGACAGATGGACTGTTCGCACAGTGGCCCGCCGTAGCCCGTGTCCCGACAGTCACATACCGGCTGCCCATTGATTACTGAGCAGATGCCGCCGTTCATGCAGTAGTCCAGTCGGCAAATGCTTTGCTCACAGTGCTGACCCACGAATCCTGTGTCTCGACAGTCGCAAATCGCCTGTCCATTCTGCACAATGCACCGACCACTATTGAGGCAAAAGCCGGGCCTGCAAATCGGCTGCTCACACAACTGTCCCCCATAGCCCGTGTTAGAGCAATCGCAGGCAGGACGTCCGTTAACGATAGTGCAAATACCTCCATTCATGCAGTACCCGGGTCGACATATCGGTGTCTCACAGTTGATTCCCTCGTGGTTCGTGCCACGGCAGTCACAGACGGCCCTGTCACCTTGCACAATGCACTGGCCTCCATTGAGACAAAAATCAGGTCGACAGATGGGCACCTCGCAGACTCGACCCTGGTACCTCGTGGATGTGCAATCGCAGACCGGTTGACCACCCCGAACGATACAGCGACCGCCGTTGAGACAGTAATTCGGTGGACAGATGGCTTGATCACACCGACTTCCCCCATATTCCGTTCCTCGACAGTCACAGAGCGGGCGCCCATTCTCAACAACGCAACGACCTCCGTTTTGACAATAGTCTGGAGGACAAATGACCCGATCGCATCGGCTTCCTCCGTACCCGGTCCCTCGACAATCACAAACCGGTCGTCCATTCTCCAGGATACAACGGCCTCCATTCTGGCAATAGCTGGGAGTACAAATAGGCTGATCACATCGACTCCCTCCATATCCTGTTCCCCGACATTCGCAGACCGGAAGTCCATTTTCTACAACACAACGACCTCCATTCTGACAGTAACCTGGTCTGCAGATGGGGTTCTCGCAGTACTTTCCATCGTAATCGGTGCCCGAGCAATCGCATATGGGTGATCCACCCTGAATACGACAAATTCCTCCATTGCTGCAGTATCCCGGACGGCAGATGGGTTGTTCACAGAGCAGACCATCATATCCAGTACCGGAACAACTGCATACGGGGCGTCCATTCTGAATACTACAAATACCACCATTTCGGCAGTAATTGGGTCGGCAGACGACAGCATCACACCTGGCTCCGTCGAAACCGGTGTTACGACAATCGCACAAAGGTTGGCCATTCACCACTGAACTAGATGCCTACCGTTCATGCAGTAGCCGGGAGAGCAGAC